GCTGTCACTGCTAGCTCCGCACAATCGTTTTCTATTTACTTTTTTAAACTTTTTTCACTCTTTTTTTCTGTTCTGCTCGGTACCTTTTGAGGGACCGAGCAGAACAGTCGAGCCAAATGCCGCTCAGCGGCATTCGGCTATTCACTCACTGCTGTTTGGCATCCAGATGTTGTATCGGCTGAGTCGAACTCCTTCTGCACGTCTGCTCGGTCGAACATGCTGAGCATGTTCGGCCGACCCGAAGCCACACGAAGCAAGCCGATGTACGACTGATTTCAGCCGATGTACGGCTGAAATCAGCCGTACCAGCCTGAAGTGAATAGCCGAACAGTGTTCGGCTCACTTCACTTCTGATCGGTCATTCACTCGGCTGCCCTCGGCAGCTTAGTGAATAGACCCCTTAGAATGTCTTTCCTACTCCTCTGCAGCAATCTAAGGTCCAGTAACTCATCACATCTATACATTGTGCATAGATGTGAGGACGCTGGCCAACTAAGAACTTTAGGTGAGTATATCTTTGTTATTTTAGCACCTAGACACAAACGAGCAGTTAACCCTTGCAGTGCGGAGGTAGCCCCACTGCAAGGGTTAATAGAAAAAATTGTTGAGTTCTGCTTTAAACCTAAATGTTTATTGTTCCGTAGAAATGCTGAAAACAATTGGATTAAAAACAACCTTCCAAATGTACACTCTGTTTCCTCAATCCTTTAAACAGCTACTAACAATAGTCATCTACTGTCTGATTACTGAACACTTGCCCTGGTAAATACGCAAATTAAATATAATCTTCCCGGTTCATTACCTGTTACTTTCTTCTAGAAGCAATTGAGTTGACTCTTCGACAGGGGAATCAATCTCTTCATGATTTCTGAGAGACAAAAACCTTAATAAATATGATCTCAAATTTGCTTATAGAAAATAAATTCACTGAATGGAAATATTCATGGTTATTTAAGCTTTCTTTTTGCATGCACATACAAAACTTATGCAAGCTTCAATAATGTTGTGTGTTGACAAGTATCTGTCTACAGAACAGATAAGAACAATAACAGCACTCAGACTGCAAAGGTATATTGTACTACCATTTTTTCCAGGCCGAGTACAATTAGCGATACTTTTCCTCGAGTACTTGCCGATACCAATACCTTTTTTTTTCAGTGTCATTCAGTTTTTCTGAAACAATACAGACTGATGATTTTAGGACAGTGGTGGAGCACCAGGGCTCAGTCCCAGCTGCAACCACTGCAACCCTGATCGTTCTGCCACTGACTCCAGGCTGTAGAAGAACTACAAATCCCAGCAATACATTATACAGCAATGCAGAATATCACCAGCTATGGGGAACTACAAATACCAGCAACACTTAATACATCAATGCAGAATACCACCAGCTATAGAGGACTACAAATCACAGCAATGCATTATACTGCAATGTAGGATAATATGAAGCCACATACTCTGTGTTGCTAACGAGGGCTGTGCGGGATCTGACCAGGACTCTGAGGAGGCTGCGTATGGGTCTCACCAGGGGCTGCATGCATTTTCACCAGGGCTGTGTGCGCTCTCACCAGGGCTGTGTGCATTCTCACCAGGGCTGTGTGTTGGTCTCACCAGAACTGTGCGGTCTCACCAGGGCTGCATAAGGGTCTCACCAGGGCTGCGTGCGGGTCTCACCAGGGTTGTGCACGATCTCACCAGGGCTGTGTTGGGTCCCCCCATGCCTGTATGGGTGGGTGCGGATTTCACCAAGGCTGTGCAGGCGGGTGCGACGGCAGAAGACTTAAACTACTCATCTAGCCTTGGGAAAGCCAGTTGGTGTAAAATACCACTTGTGCTCATCTCAGGTAATTATTATATGATATGGAGTGGTGGTAGGGTGCAAAATCTTGATTGCATTTAAATAGGTAAATATCCTTTTACTGCCACCAATGTAAGAGTTATGACTGACAAGCTGTCAATCACACCCATTAGTAGAAAATTTGAGTACTGCTCTGCAGTGTGCCACGTGTGTAACCGTGCTTGTCAGATCCTCCCCGCTGTGTGCCCACAATCTGATCCCCTCCAATCTTATCACAAAGCAGGGAGGACTGAATCTCTTCAAGGTGGTGAGCAGGTATTGACGGGTATTGAGCGGGAGAGACATTTTTACTAAGTACTCCTCGTAACTGGAGTGATTGGAACACCTGAATAACATGTTTACTATCTCTTCCATTCGTGCTCAGTACATTTTCAGGTTCACCGTTATTGAGTGTCTGGTAGCAGAGGAAGAGATTGAGCACTTTCCCAAATTGAAACAATGGTGGTCTATTTAGACCCCTGAAATTTCCCCCAAGCCCACTGGTGACAGTACAGTTAAAAAAAAAGAAATAAAACGGAAATAAACCTCCCCTCACACTCAAAATACACACACATAGGGGTCTATTCACGAAGCAGCCAAAGGATTTAGCCGTAGCTTCGGCCTACAGCTCACGAACGAAAAAAAAAAATGTTTGCCCATAGGAATGCATTGCTAGATTCCTATTGGCTATTTCAATTTGCAATAGCCAATAGTAAACTAGCATTGCACCCGCCCTCTGCTGCAGTTCTCCATCAGCAGAGGAGTCTGTCATTGCTAGCTCCACACAATCGTTTTCTATTTATTTTTTGTGCTTTTTAAACTATTTTTCTGTTCTGCTCAGCGGCATTCGGCTATTCGGCTATTCACTCACTCCTGTTTGGCATCTATGAGAATAGACCGAACAGCAGCGAGTAGCCTGCCGGAGGTTCGGCTCAGCCGATCCAGATGTTGGATTGGCTGAGTCGAACTCCTTCTGCACTTCGACCCGAAGCCACCCGATGTACGGCTGATTTCAGCCGATATACGGCTGAAATCAGCCGTACAAGCCTGAAGTGAATAGCTGAACAGCGTTCGGCTCACCTCACTTCAGGACGGTTTTTCACTCGGCTGCCTACGGCAGCTTAGTGAATAGACCCCATAATGTACACTTGAACTATGCACATTGCGGTAATGCATGTTACATGTGTTGGTGCACCAACACAATAAAAGCCCACGCACACCAGCACGCACAATATGGTGTGCATAACGTGTGCACTGGTATGTGTTGTGCATATACCCTGCTACATGTATTTTTCTGTACATGCAGTGTTTTTACAGAAAAAAAAACAGGGAAATGTGCATATATTGCAGAGATGTACTGAATATAGTTTGCTTTTTTTTGGCAAGACATTTACTTTACATGTTAAGTAAACCCAAGCTATACTGTATATCACTTGTAAATTCATTTTTAACATTTCATTGACCCTTTAAGAAGAAGAGTCTGAAACCAACAGTTTTCTCCATGGTACACTGAAGCAATTAGGGAATTAAATATACTGATGTCTGATTAAAGGTAATCAGTTTAGTATGAGCTTAACATTGAGGGCCCATTCCTGCCACTGTTCTGCGGTTTCTGTCCGGGCACCGCATTGCAATGTAATGGATGCCCATTGGTATAGAATGAATGAATGGTACTAAAGTACACTAACATATGTGACTGTGACTTGCGGTAATGCATGCATTACTGAAACACAATGTAAATGGGCCCTTACAGAGGAACTAAACTATGGAAGCTGTACCCAAAAATAGCAGAAATAGGGCAAATGACTAGTGAACAGTATTACCTGTGGTCAACCTGCAGCTGTTCATTTTCGTATTACTGACTTGCCATGCCTTGTTCTGCATTATGTCTGTGTGGAGGGGGCCATCTTGTTAGATGCTGGGCTTTACTTCCTTATGCCAGAGCCTCCAGCAAGGAGAACAGTGAGCAGCACAGTAGTGGTATCACCAAATCTCACTCCAAAGTCAGAGGCAGCTGACACAGATATATAGCTTTAGGGCTGTAGACACAGGAGTCCTTAGCCACCCTCACATACCAGGAAGTGTACTACTATTTTTTAGGAAAAATTCAAGACAAAATATACATTTTTCAGGGCAGCGCTTAAGCACAGTTAATACTTCTAGATATTCCCCATAATATAGCAAATCTTCAGCTTTTAGAGTTCAGTTGCACTTCTTTAAGCTGTCCTAAAAGATAAATGGAGGTTGCCATTTTTGAACTGTTCTGAACACCGCGCCGCAAATATCAGCAGATGAAGGAGCCCTGTGTGGTCCCGAAAAGCGCTTGTTGTTCATATGACAAAGAACTTCAATAAATGAAGCTTTTGCTATCTAAGGACTGGTGTGCTAGTGACCTTTCTACATTGAAGAAAAAGATTCTGCGCTATTGGAAAAGGAAGTGAAAAAGAAGAAAAACCGGACTAACTACAAGCTGCTAAAACCCAGACTCAGAAGCCTCGAAGGTTAATTGATCAATAGTGTAGTGCTATAAGTCTCACGGTGTAATTAACAAAAACCAGTGTGTGTGAAAAGACAATAAATCAATGAATAAATATATGAGATGTGTTGGTGTCTTCTGTGTGACGTGTCAATAGGTGATATACATCTGTGTGAATGATGTGTGACAATAACAAAATTAAAAAAATTAACAATGTGAATCTCTCTCCGAAGAAAGTACTATGTGAACTGTGTGGTTAAACCAAATGTATAATAGATGTGTATTAGAGACCACAATCCTGTACACAGTGGATGAAATAAATAAATAAATAAATGTCAAACCACTGGTGTTATCTTAAAATAGAGGACCTAAATGAAATATGTAAAAATATATATATATATAATAGAAACATAGTAAAAACATGTGTAAAAATGTAAAAAGCACCAATGATCATTAAGAAGAGTATATGGAAAATGTTATTTTGAGATACTCAACATGCATATTATATATATATAAAAAATATATATAAAAATTAGGTATAGCAATGTCCGATATTGTCCTATTCATAAAAAGACATATTTTGGACTGATGTTGAACAGAGGGTATGTGTCTCATTTGGAGATATCGAAGAAAACTGCTTGTCAGAAGAAGAAACCCCCGTAGGGGATGCACTCACCAGATACCGGAGTAACAGAAGCCGTCTGACATTTCTACATTACTTCAGGTAAATAGACACCAAACATGTCAAGCCCTAAAATTGCGCGCGCCCGCAAAATCACAAAAATATACCACACCGGGAATTGGCCATAGGCGTCGCTTTAAATGCTTTTACTGCTCATCATTTTAGTGTTATCAGTGATTAATGGCCCTGAAATTATTGCTCTCACTCCGACGTTTGCGGTGATGTGCGGCGCAATATGCGCAATTGCTATTTTCACACGTAGTAGCACCCGACGCATCTTTGCGTGTGTATCTGGGGGCATGGGACTTTTGTGGGTTTTTTTTATGCTTCTTTAATTTTTTTTATTACTCTTTACACTTAATGTTATTGGTATCACATAGAGGGATAAGAAGCGGCTACTCAACTGGCTCCGGCGTCACGAGAGGACGAGTGTATTTTTCAAGACCTGGACATTTAATATTTGTTGGATTGGTGGCTGTTTTCCTTAGGCAGTACCAGCTTGTTTCTAAAGAACATTATGTCTCCAGCAGCAATAATAATTCATAAATTAGACAAACTATGTCAGGTTCTGTCTTTGAACATAAACATTCAGTTGCCATGATCAAAAATGTTTTAGCAAACATTGTTCATATTTCATCATGTCATCGGCTTAGTCATATTAAAAAAAAGTTTGTAGTAACTCTTGGAACAAAATTGTAGACAATGCATATAGAATCAAAAGTGTGGTGAAAACTGATTTCCTGCTGTTTTACTGTATTTTACTGTATTTTTCCTTCAGCACTAATAAACCAGCTCTGACAAAATTACATTTTAGGAGGAAAGTAATAAGAAAATGTACATACCCATGAATAATTTGTGAATCCATAGGCTTCCTAAACGCTGGGGAAGTAGATCTGAATGTTACAGCAACACCATCAGCAATGTCACTGAGACTGGAAGTATCAGAAGTTATTTTGCCAAAGTTCAATACTGTATGATTGAAGAACATTTTATGACATTGAGAATTTTCTTTGCATTACTCGTCTTGTCGATGCAGTAGGCTTTATGGGCTGTATAATAAGGTGAGATGAATGTACATGCAGATGAAGCAATTGCCACTAAGGCTGGGACACTTCTACTGGCTCAACCTGTAATGCTGGAAAGGATGAGTGTATATCAACACGCCTTGCAGTATAAATTTAATTGAAATCTGTCTTTATATTGGTTTGTCTGGTTATAGTATTTAAGGGCTAGTCAGTTAAAAATTCTAGTAACAGCATCCCTTTTGGCATTGTAATGATCAGGGCAACCATCAGAAATTTTGGGGCTTACACTTGAGTCGTAACTAGAAACTTCAGGGCCCCGATGCAAGAAACCATGAAGGGCCGCCATGGGAAGGCATTGTAAACAGGCACAGTGTGGCTAACAGGAAGGCTGCCGAGGTCCCCAGCAAGCGTGGCTTCAGTTAAAAAATTTAGAGCCGGTGTTCTGTCAAGAACGCCGACCCAGTATCTGCGCTTGCGCACAGAGGGGGTTAACGAGGAAACAAGAATTTATTTACAAAATATTAGTTTGTAATTGTGACCATTAATAATATTCCATCCATGGCAGTAAATGATGGATGGAATATCATTAACGGTTACAATTAACGATTTAAACGAAATACTTTGTCAATAAATCCCTGTTTCCTCGATAATACTGGTCTGTGCACAAGCACAGATGCTGAGGCCGGCGTGCTCAACAGAACACTTAGTATCGGGGCATTTTCCTGAGTACGAGTACTCGTGAAAAAGCCCAGTATTGGCACTGGGGCCTACTTAATAATATAATGTATTGTTGGGACTTGTTGTCTTGCATAGTTGGTGCTATTCTGCATTGCTGTACAATCATTATAGAGAATCACAGAATACCCCCAGCTATGCAGGACTACAAGTCCCAGCAATACATTATAATAAAAATCAGCAATGCTGAATACCACTAACTTCTACCCAGAGGCGTAACTAGAACCTTCAGGGCCCCGGTGCAAGAAATCATGAAGGCCCCCCCCCCCC